ATTTAAAAAATATATAATATAAAAATATAATAATTAATTAAATTAAAAAAACATGACAATAAGCCCACTTATTATCATGTTACTATTATATCAATTTTATTTATTAACAATTATGAACTTATAATGACACTTAATGACATTATAACTACGTTTATCATTGCCGCTTCACATTATATGAACGGAATCTCTAGCATTGCAGCGAAATCTTGTATAAATCGTCCTTGTTAGATAATGCAAAGACTTTTCCTGTCTTCGAAAAATTGGAAATTTCTTTCTTCTAGAAGAATTTTATTTGTTATTATTACAAAAAGATTTTTTTAATTTGTATTCTCAAATGATATGAAATATATATATATATATATATTATCATAAATTTATATTAAAAAATTAAAATTAAAATTAATTTTTTAATTATTAAATTAAATTTACTTAATACTAAAAATATTTTTAACATGTATTTTAATAATACAAATTAAAAAAAATCCTTACAAAAATATAGGTCCAAAATATTTATAGACAATTCCATTCCACCCGCAAAGCCAGATCAAGGAAATTAAAATTGGTTTTGAATTAACCAAAAAAAATTTCTTTAATTTTGAGAATTGAAATTTTTTATAAACCAATCAGTTCAATTACAAACAAAATCGACTTTATTTAGTTAATTTTGATTTTTATCAAATAAATATTAATCAATTTTTTTAATAATAGATTATATTTTATGTTATATTTTATCATATTTATCCCAATTTTAATTTTTAAGAGGCTCATTTTAATTTTTAAGAGGCTCATTTTGATTTTTAGTTAATAAAAAATTCAATCAAAATCAAATCTAAATTTATTTGATTAATATCAAATCGAAATAATAAAATATTAAAATTATTAAAATCAAACCGAATTTATTTTTTGGTTCGATTTCCGGATAACCGTTCGGTTCCCTACCCCTACACGGGAGGGACAGCAATGTAATATCACAATCCCGTCGACTCCACGTCCCGGTCCATCCTCTTAGCCGCTCCGAGACGAAACGTGAAATTCCCTCGGCCGGTTCAAACCCTTGTCCACAGTCAACACGTCATCCCCCTCTCCATCAGAAAACCATAGGTTATATCCCCGATTCAGTCCCTCAACTTTCATTTTTGGACTAAAACTACCCTCAAACTTCAAAAAGTACTAAAAAAATCCTTAAACTTCAATTTTTGGGACCAATTTTGTCCTTCCGTCAGTTAATTGCTGACGTGGCAAAATTTTCGGTTAACAAATTCAATTTTTATTAATATTAAATATTACCTGGAAATAAAATGAGTGATGTGGCATTTTTAATTATAAAACTATTGTGATTTGGCAAAAAATATAATTTAATAAATAAAAATTTTTTTTCTTTCTTTTTTTTTCTTTCCTTTTCTTTTTTTCTCTCCTTCTCTTTCCTTTTCTCTTTCCCCTCCCTACTGAGTTCGAAGGAACCAAGCACCAACGCCTGGGTTCCTCGAACCCAGACGCGGGTTGAGGAACCCAAGCGCGGGTTCCTCGAACCCAGGAGTGGGTTCCTTGAACCCAAGAAGCCAGGATGCCTGGGTTCCAGGAACCCAGGCGCGGGTTCCTCGAACCCAGGCGCTTGGTTCCGAACCCAGCACCTGGGTTTGAGTCGAACCCGCCTGGGTTTTTTCATTGTGTTTCTTTGTTGGCTTGCAGTCATGCTTGAATGTGATTTAGAGTTTTGTGTTGCTTCTGATTGCTTGAATTTCCAGATCTAGTTACTGTCGATGTTGATTGAAGGAATGTTGTGTTTTCTTTACAGATTTGATATACATTTGTAGAGGAATTGATTTTTTGAATCAGATCTATTGGTCATTATCATTATTGTGCAAGGAACCAGATTTGAGTTCTATTAGAGAGGAGGTTTGGGGAAGAAGTAGATGGTGATTGGAGTGGTAATAGATGATCGGAGCAATGAGGGATGACCGGAGTAAAGAGGGATGATCGGTGTTGATTGGGTTGCAAGATGAGAAGACATCTGAGGATAGAGAGAGACGAGAGGTGATGGAAGATGAAGATGGGGGTATTTAAGGAATTTTAAATTTTTTAATATAAAAATTAATTAAAATGACGTGGATTAAGTTATTTTCCACATAATTAAAGATTTCAAACAAAAATTGATTTCGTGGCAACTTAACGTGCCGTCTGGCACTTCTGTCGACAGAATGACGAAATTGGTCCCAAAAATTGAAGTTCAAGGATTTTTTTAGTACTTTTTGAAGTTCGAGGGTAGTTTTAGTTAAAAATGAAAGTTGAGGGACTGAATCGGGGATATAACCAAAACGATAATATTTTTTCCCCTTTTATTTATTATTTGCACAAGCCCATTATTCTTAGCTTAACAACAACAGGAAGGAAAAATCCGTAGTCGAATTTTCCTGTTTTCCTCTCCGTGAATAACCGTAACCCCGACTCTCTACTCCGATCAGTCCACGATCTCTCTTCTCTCTGGTTGTTCTCGGATTTGGATCCAGAACTCGGAGATTGAATCATTATGTCTTACTCAGATTCCGACTCCTCTTCCGGTGCCGGCGAGTACAAGTATTTCAAGCAAATCACTCGCGAAAGTAAGCTTCGTTTTCTGTATCTCCTTGTTCGATTCTCTATTTCAATTCTGTTTAGCTGGATTACTTTCATCTAATCGTTTTTTTTTTTTTGTTCCGATGATCTATTTCGTCCGTATCGCGGTTGTTAATTTTAGTCAGTATGAAGTCGGAAATTTGTTGTTGAAGCTTTGGAGTATAATGTCTAGCGTTTCTATAATATATTTGCCGTGAATCGTTTGTAATTTATTGTTGATGAGATTGATCTTCTGTTAGACGACTGAGGTGCATAGTAAAAATGTCCTGCGTAAGGATGCTTTCTTAAGTTCAGGCATTCTGAATTTTTAATTTGATGAAATATTCATCCCAAGCAAAGGGAGAAAACAAGTTAATGGGATTATTCCTTTATTTGGTCTTGAAAACTTTTGAAACGCGATCCTACTAAAAGGATGATGCAATTGTTATTGAAATTCTTTTTGGTTATGGAATTGGTTGTTAATAATTAGTGTTTTTCTAGTAATAATGCTAGCTTCATAAGTAAGTGTAATCTCTAAAACAACAGCTATATGATGCAGTATGGGGTTGTTAGTTTAAGTAAATTAGTCTATCTAGACAGGAATTGTGATATGCATATTGCATCTTCCCAGTTGTAAAATTGTTGTTAATTGTGACCTATAGAGAAGTTAGGGTTTATTTGGGAAGCTTCTTTCTGCTGGAATTGTGTAGTTACACAAGGATTCTGGCATTCTGCATAATGTCTTTTCTTTCCACACTCATCTAGGAAAATTTCTGTATGTGGATGTTTACAATTGATTTTTCATCATGAGCGTGACTGCTTAGTCTCATATCTAAATGTTGTATTCAAATCATATAATTGTCATTCAAATCAATTGACCTGGTTTTTTTTTTTTGTCCTTTTTCTCTCCTTTTTTTTTTTTTTGCCTATTGAAATTGGATGCATCTTTAGGATTATTGTCTGAGATGCTTAAGTCAGCAAAAACTGGGGACTCAAAATCAACATGGAAGGTATATTTTACTTTGTCATCAAGTTGTTTATGATTTGGGTATATGCTATTCTGTTAATGGCAATGCTATAGTTACAATACCATGTAGGATTGTAAACTTACAATTCTACATGGCATTAAATGCGTGGAAGCATACAATATCACATGTGGACGCTAGAATGAAAAGAGCTAATTATATGACGACACATCATGTCGTAAGTTTACAATGCTACGTGGCATTGTAACTAGCATTTTTTATTCTGTTAATGTATATATGTTTATATATTTTCAGTTAGTAGAATGTCATATCCTGTGTTAATTCTTGAGTACCTATTGTTTAGGTACTTATCATGGACAAACTAACAGTTAGGATCATGTCCTGTGCCTGCAAGATGGCTGACATCACACAAGAAGGAGTCTCATGTAAGACAATCTCTGTAGATTTTGATTTCAGTTTTAGAATGTGTCTTGGAATCATGTTCTTGGGATAGGAATAGAGAATGTCTTTTACTGAACGTAAAATATATAGGAGCTTCTCTCTCTTTGTGTTTTTGTGGAGAACAATTAGTAAAATCTTTAGGGAACATCATTTTGTGTTTTCACAACTGGAAATTTGGAATCCCTTTTAAGTTTCTGAATAGTCTGTTACTCAGCTTTACTCTTCAGTTGCAGAAATATTTTTATTTTTACTGTTTTAGCTTTTTGCACATAAAAAATGGGATAAAGAGTAGATAATGAGTCAATGACTAAGCTACATAACTTATTTTGCCATTTTGGACTCTCCATGTTACCTTTTCCCCAAAGAAGTTCAATATTTTATATTTTGTCCTGCAGTGGTGGAAGACATATATAGACGTCGACAGCCGTTGCCATCAATGGATGCTATATATTTCATCCAACCAACCAAGGAGAAGTAAAAAAATATCTTCCTTTGTCAATAATGATTTTTCCTAGTGATTCTTTAAGAATGAATGTGTGCATTATAAATACATGCGTGTGTCCATTTATGTCTATTTATATTGGTGGGCCTAATTCTCTGTCCTGGAATCTCAAGTTAACGTTTTCTTTCTGCTTTTTTTTTTTTTTTTTCTTTTGTTGCACTTAGTTTTGCGTCAGTGCAAGGAAGACTGTAGCTGTTTGAATTTATTTATTCTGTTTGCAACCATTTTGGTGCCTGAATTATGCTTGAACTTACCTCTTTAACCTTGAATCATTGTTATGTGCAGTTATATCACAACAATAAGAGTCTGGAAATTTGATTGTGTAGGCAGTGAATGAGACAGAGGCCAAAATTTTGGTGCCAATTTCTATGATGCCTAAATATTTTTGAGCATTTTTCTGGCATCCCTCATGACAACAAAACTTCTTCTTTCTTGTCTGAATCTCATATCTCTTGATGTTTTTTGGTTTTGCATGCTTAATTCCATTATTTTGTAAGGACTTATGCAATCAAGTATGCAAGTTGCAGTGCAGTTTATAATTCTGATTGCAATAGCTGAAGTGATGTAAATGTGCTCCCATCTGCAGTAATCTCTTTCTTGTCCTATATTTCGTCACTTATGTTTTATTATGCATTTTTTATTCTGCAGTGTTGGTATGTTTTTGTCAGACATGGCTGGAAGGACTCCCTTATATAAGAAGTATGAGAGAACTTTTGCACAGTAGCCAATAGCTTTTTTGATTATATATCTTTTCAAAATCTTAAGTGTTTTATGGTTTCTTATATATATATATTTCTCACTTTGGTTTTTGAAGGGCATATGTTTTCTTCAGTTCACCTGTTTCAAAAGAATTAGTTGCCCACATCAAGAAGGATTCAACGGTCTTACCTCGCATTAGTGCCCTGAGGGAGGTAAATTTTCTTGCTATATGGCTTAGCTGAAGCAATTTATATTCTGTCAATTAGGTCTTCTTTTTCTCTTCTTTCTTGATAAATAGTTGAGTTGTCACTACATCTGATGTTTTTAATTTTTTTGTTGGAAATGCAGATGAATTTGGAGTACTTTGCAATAGACAGCCAGGTATATAATTTGTCCTTGAGCAAATACCTTGAATAAATATATAGGGATGTGCAATTCATTTTTTTGAAAAAGTTAAGTTGAAGTCAATTCAATTAATCTCATTTAAAATGTTATGTATCACCAAATATGCTTGTCTCTCAAAATTACACAAACTAGGTTTCTGATGGTATACTCATCATTTTGCGTCTTGCCTCCAAAATTTTATGTTCAAACAATGTCATTTTCTGTAGCCCCCCATAATTGAGGGGTGTGTTTTCAATTGATTCATCATTGTATTGATATGATCTACTGTATTTTTTGTGTGACAGGGTTTTCTTACTGATCAGGAGAGGGCTCTTGAAGAACTATTTGGTGATGAGGAGAATACCAGGAGAGGTGATGCATGTTTGCATGTGATGGCTACCCGCATTGCTACAGTTTTTGCTTCATTAAAGGTATATGTAATGATTCTTCAATTCAATTCTCAAATGTATCTTGAAGCTTCTAAAATGTATTTAACTCTCAGGAGTTTCCTAATGTGCGCTACCGGGCTGCCAAGTCTCTTGATACAATGACAATGACAACTTTTCGTGACCTCATTCCTACGAAGCTTGCAGCTGGAGTCTGGAATTGTCTCATGAAGTATAAACAAACAATTAAAGGCTTCCCAGAGAGGGAATCATGCGAGTTACTTATCCTAGACAGATCCATAGATCAGGTTTGTAAGCATATATACATTATTAAACTTGCAACAGGCTTACTGTTCAATGGCTTATGGTGAATGTGCTTAATTTGCATATTTAGATAGCTCCTGTCATACATGAGTGGACTTATGATGCTATGTGCCATGATTTACTGAACATGGAGGGCAACAAATATGTGTATGAGGTGGGTTCTAGCATTTCAAATTCAAAATATATTCATTAATTTATTTTGGATTTATTCTTTGTTGGATGCTGCATATCAATGTATTGCCCTTTTCAGGCCACAAACAAAGAAGGCAAGCCGGAGAAGAAAGAGGTCCTTTTGGAGGAACATGATCCCATTTGGCTTGAGCTTCGCCATGCACATATAGCTGATGTATGTATGGTGCTTATACTTCTCATGCTCTTCTTAGGTGCAATGATGAATGATTTTTTTGCCTCTTGAGTTTCTGATCAGGCTAGTGAGCGCTTGCACGAGAAAATGACCAATTTTGTAACAAAGAATAAAGCCGCACAAATTCATCATGGTTCAAGGTTGGTGTAAATTTTCCTTTTTTGGATATCTTTTATATGATTAGCATTACAACAGCATCAGAGAACTTGCTGCTTAGAACAATAGTTCTTTGATCAATGTTATATAAATCAAATGTTAATTTATGCTTTGATGCATTTTATTGACATTGTTTCTATTCTTTTGAACCTCTATCAGTTGATTTGGCTGTTCATTATTTGATTAATGATTAATGAAATTTGTGGTTGTTAGTTTTAACAACTTATTGACATTTCCAAGACATTTTTTAATAACAATGAAATTAATAGCTGCATAGAGGAGACTTGCCCCCTAACCTCTGAAAAGTACATAGTGGTTGCTTGTGCTTCTTTTTTCATTTAGCCTTTTGCAATATTATTTTCATTGGTCAACTTGTAAGGTCTTTAGTGTCCATTGCATTTGATTTCTGGATTTGGTGCAAATGTATCTGCATTATTTGTTATTTGTTGGTAATATTTCTGACATGAAAGTATTCTTGTTGTATAGGGATGGAAGTGAACTCTCTACTCGGGAGTTGCAAAAGATGGTTCAAGCTTTGCCCCAATATAGTGAGCAAATTGACAAGATCTCCCTCCATGTGGATGTTAGTATTTTTATTTAAGAAATATCCTTTTTTGGTTTTTAGGAATTCAATCAAGTGGAAAATACTATTTGCTAGATCCTGATTTCCTCAGTCAAAAAGATGGACTTCATCCTCTTTTTCCCTAGCTCCATAGTTGTTTGCATCTCATCATTTTATGACTGGGTTACAGTTCTTTGGTGAAGTTTCTAATGTGGTCAAAAAATTGCTTAGTGGCCTACAGGTTACAGCACAGCAGGAAGCATTTCTAAAGTTGTACATTGATCTATAATTCCATAAACAAAGTCTTCTCTTTCATATCTCTTCATCAGTAATCAATTTGAAAAGATGAGAGATATTATTCTTCATCAAGTTGTTTCCTAATGGGTTTTTATACCATAATTTCTAGGTGTGATTTGTTACTTCAATTTTAATATATAGTTCTACAGTCTCACTTATATCATGAAATGGTCATATCTTGCGTCTTAAATTCAAGTGAGACACTGTCCTTTCTGTTACTAGTACTGAATTCATTTGTTGGCACATTCTCTTCTTGTTGTCACATTCTCTTCTTGTTGTCTGCTTGTTCTCATGTGGTTTATCCCTTTGTATCATCTATCTTGGGAGCTTCAGTTGTTCTTTCTCAATGTTGATAAATTCATGGGAAACCACCCTGAATGGTTTCCATCATTGGCCTTTTTTCATTTTCAGACAATCACTTTCTCTTTGGTAAATGAGATTTTGATCTTTTAGCAAATATTCTCTCATGTCTTAAATTTGATCATTATGAATATAAGATTTTTAGCATAGCAGTAATTGTCATCCTCTTTAACCAAAACCTTGAAAAAGAAATATACCTGATTTAATTTGATGATTTCCTTTCCATAGGATTCATTGCTTCATGCAAATTATGATTTGTTATTGCAGATTGCAGGAAAAATCAACAGAATCATCAGAGAACTGGAGCTTAGAGACATTGGGCAACTGGAGCAAGACCTTGTCTTTGGTGATGCTGGAACAAAGGATATTATTAAGTTTTTGACAACAAAAGAGGTGTGATCTTGTGATAATTTGATAGATGTCTTGTGCTGTGTCAATGCATTTTGTATAAAATATAACTATCACTGTTCTGCAGGATGCAACCCGTGAAAATAAGTTGCGCTTGTTGATGATTCTTGCAGCCATTAATCCTGAGAAGTTTGAAGGTGAAAAGGGTCTCAATTTAATGAAGGTTGGCCGCGGGTCTCTTCCTTTGTGTCCCTCTCTAAAAGAAATAAAAAATAAAGAAAATAAAAAAAAGGGGGAAAAATGGAAAAGAAGAAGAAGAAGAAGAAAGAAGAAGAAGAAAGAAGAAGAAGAATAGCAAATCATACTTCTTTTCTTTTCACTGGCAAAAATATAAATACTTCTTTCCTTTTTTAGCACAAGCAGTTAGTAATATGTTAATAACAGTTACCAAAAAGTTGTTTGTAATCCGTACTGCACGTAATAATATCAGTTGGGTGGGAAAAGACAATATTAATAATGAATATGGGATGCATGAAGATTAATTAATGTTGTTTATCTTCTTCCCCTTGATGAATATTTTTATGTGCAAGGCAGTCTGTAAAACATCAATCTCTTACAGTTATCTAACTTGGTTTAATTCCTTTCAGTTGGCAAAACTACAACCTGATGATATGAATGCTGTAAGTAATATGACATTACTTGGGGCATCACCGGAAACCAAAAAAAGTTCAGCTGGATCTTTCTCTCTGAAGTTTGATCTTCATAAGGTACATATTTTGTTTATTTGAATTCTGTTTCTGATAGTTGATTTTGCATTACTAATTTTCTTTTCCACTTTGCCTCTTGAATTTGGCAGAAGAAGAAGGCAACTAGGAAAGACCGCAGCGATGAACAAGAGCCATGGCAATTGTCACGCTTTTACCCCATAATAGAGGTAAATATAAAGTTCATGGTCAAACTTTGCATCTTGAAATTAAGAATTGTATGGAAGATTGGATATTTAGTCAATAAAAAAGGGGAATGGATTGCTAAAGCAAATGCTTTGTCATCCTCAGGAACTTATTGAAAAAATTAGCAAGGGAGAACTATCTAAAGATGATTACCCTTGCATGAATGATCCCAGTCCAACTTTCCATGGCTCATCTAAGGCTTCATCTATACATGAACCCCCTGTTGCTCATTCAATGAGATCAAGGAGGACGCCAACATGGGCTCGGCCTCGACAGTCTGATGATGGCTATTCAAGGTGGTCTTTTTTCTCTTTCTTGAGAAACTGTTGATCTTTGGAATGTGACTGTTGGTATATTTTGGTCATTCTCCATTCATGTGTCTTGTTCTCTTTCTCGTTTATTCCCCACTGTATAGTAACTATCTGCTTCCACACAGTGATTCGGTAATAAGACATGCATCCAGTGACTTAAAAAAGATGGGAAAACGTATTTTTGTGTTCATTGTTGGTGGAGCTACTAGATCGGAGGTATGGATCATTTTCAATGTGTCTCGATACGTTGTGATTAGTTTGCTGCTCTGATGCCGGTTTTCTTTCCTGGAATGTTTTTCCTTCACAGCTAAGGGCCTGTCACAAGCTTACAACTAAGCTAAACAGGGAAGTTGTTCTAGGTTCATCCAGTTTTGACGATCCACCTCAGTTTATTACGGTAAGTTTCCTCTACCAATCATCTCTCTATTGTGATTCCCAATTTCCCAAATGCCTCGAGGATTAACCTTGTCTTGTTTGGAGTTGCAGAAACTGAAGCTGCTCACGGCTCATGAACTCTCCTTGGATGATTTGCAGATATAAAACCTATGGTGTAGGAAGCTTGGAGTGTACTTTTGCTCCAATCAGATTTGTAATCACATATTCTTTTTTTTTTTTTTTCTTTTTTTTGGTTAACATTCAGCAAAAAAGTGTCTTCCTCTTGATTTTGGTGGCCTTTACCCAGCCAGTCTGATTAGCACCCAACTTGTTAACCCCGGCGCTTGCTTTGCTGATTTGTGCATCTGTAATTGACATACTAGGGCCACCACATAATTCACGATTGTATAATATTTTTGTAATTGATATGAAAGCTTAATTTCATACAATTCATTCCTTCGTCTACTGTTTACAATCTTGTTACAGTTGTGATGTTTCTAGTTATTTAGTCCAAAGCAGAAGCTGTAGCAAGTTGAAGTTTCTGACCTACTATACCATAGCACTGCTGTGATTTGAACCCTGATCTCTACCAGCGTAAGATCCTTGAAGGGTGCACTTTGTTTTTGACAACTATAATTTGTGGGGGAGTGAGATTTGAAGCAAGGTCAAGGCCTCGTGGTGCACCACTACAACCAAAATGGGCTGACGCCCAGATGTGAGATAGTGACCTCTTTTAACTTTATTTCTGAAATAAATAATATTGTTTGAGACAGAATTAAGAAAATTTCTTGAATCAAACAAGAGAGCTCTCGTTAGCATTTCAAAATATTATTGCCTAATTCTCGAGTCTTAAAACCAGCTTGATGGCCTCGTTGACAACTAGCTAGCTAGCTAGGCAGCCCACTACTAGGCTTCGTGGTTGACAACAAATTTAAAGAGTAGGTTGTCTTTTGTCTGGGTTGTCGGAAAATGAACAATATTCAGTTCCATTGTCTCTATAAGGGGGGGAAAATAATTGAAAGAAATTATGATGAAGATCAAGAATTAGTCGTATTGGTTAACAAATTAATCAGTCACTTCTTCACCCACTGGCCACAGGGACGTATGCAGTGTTTCCATTCATATTTTCTTCATCGGGTCACAATTTTGAATAGCTTTTAGCCATCTCATTTTTCTCAACTAATTATTCCTCTAGGTCATTCTTGATGCAGCTTTTCTTCAAGGAAACGAAACCATAATTAATCAACTTCACCAAATCAGGTGCTACTCTATAAAATTCTTTGCTTTTCTGATTCCAAAGTTCAATCTTTAAATAATTAACACGTTGTCCTTTCCAGTTTTAGTAAACACCAGAAACCCTAGACTAGAGCTATTTCCACTGAGTCTCTGTTTGAGAACATGCAATTAGAAAATGATGAATTATGTATATGGTTCCTTTGTGCTACATCCTTATCTGTTAGCTCTTGATTAGGAGGTAATTAAATCTCTGTTAATGATTAATTAGAACAAAGAGGAGATCATACAGATGAAGCTATAACATCTAATTAATGCGTTCGTTCCAATATATGATCAATAATAGCATGAATTATATACAAAGTTGCATGCAATGAAATAATTTTTTTTTCTTTTGTTTATTTGGAAATTTTGCAGTCTATTTTTGCATCTTAACTTGACATGTAATTCATACTTTTTCCAAAGACGTGAGAACTAAAAATAAAGCTCTTTCAGGTTCTACTTACTGTCTGCTAATTTGGTGGCCTTTTTTTTTTTTTTTTTTTACCTTTTAAAAGTGGGTTCATCATTAAAGAATTTGACCCTCGTGATACACATTATATATTTTGTCCTTAAATTCCAAGGCACCTGTTAATTACTTAATTAGATTAATTAAGCATAATAATTGCTATATTATTTAATTTAATATATTCACAATATATTTATTAAAAATTATTATTTTTAAGTTTAAATTAAAGATCAAAAACTTAAAGTTATAAATTTTAATGAGTGAATTAGTAAGTGTTAAAGAATATATTAAACTAAAAATATATCAATTATTTTTCATTAATTAATTATGAAAAGCAATTGAAAACCATTGCATTTTTTTGGCTTTTTATTCCTTTTCCCTTATCAATGACAAAAACAATCATTCTAAATAAAAGTAACATATCTCTAGCTAGAACGACTTTAATTAGTTTACTAAATTCCGAGGGAAATAATTAATCATTGCTCATGAGGACCCAATTTTATCCCCAATTATCGCGTAATATGTTTATATTATAATGGGGTGATTCATCATTGGCATTAAAAGTATGAATTAATTTAAATTTCAACGGTCACCTTACTTTGGCACCTTGTAATTTTATAGCATTAGAATACACTAATGAATGACCTTTAAATTTCCTCGCTTTTATTTAACAATAAAGTGGTCCTCCTAGTTTATGAGTAATAATTAAAGAGTTTAATTTTTAATAGTCTATTGTTTTTATAGTTCAGATTTTATTTAATTGTGAAATGATAGTTATTGAATTAGAGAGAATTTTCAATATCTAGAAGTTTACATTAATGACATGTTAGTCCAACAGTTTAGTTCTTTTTAAATAAAATTTTAAATTCGAATCTTGTGAATAGAAAAACAGGCGTAAGGAGATTTTTCCCTTAATGGGGTCTAACGAGAGTCGATTCCAGATTAATCAAGATTCAATGTAGTTACCGGAAGGTTAATACAAAAAAAAAAAATCTAGAAGTTTACTTTCATTCAATGATTAATATTGTATAATTCAAATTATATAATACATTTTTTATAATCAAATATACAAATAGTAAAAGAGAAAAATAAATGTTTTATAAAATTTTATTTGTTACAATATAAATTTCAATACTAACATGTCCTATGAGGATTAGGTTAAGTAATTAAGGATTTAAAAACGAAGAACTCATAATTTTAAAGTTATATATTCATCTATCACATATAGAGGTATTTGTATTAATATACTCTCATATTGATTTTATAATCAATTGAAAAAGAGTGCAAACAAGCACAACATATACTATAAAAGCGAACTGTAAATTTTAATGGGTTTCATTAATACATGGTATTATTAATCATCTTGCTTGCATGCTAATCTAGATTAATTTATTTTATTGAGTATAAATCACTTTTGATTAATTATTAATTCAGAAAAAAAGCAGAAGAATCTGACAGAAGCTTGAACGTCTTAATTAATTTGACAAAATATCATCAATTCCAAAAAAATAAAAAATTGAACTACTAATATTTTATACCTTTAAAAATTTTTAATTACCTCCATCCATCATACTTTCTCCCCCCTGTATATATGTATGTTTTGTGACTTTTCACGTGTACATTGTAACACACTAAAGTATGAGAATTATTGAGATAAATTGATTACAACATGTGATTAGCTTAGCTAGCTAACTAGGGTGAGTCAAATCTAATTTCTTTTGTTCTAAGCGATCCAAATTCCAATGTATCTACTAATACATACCCCCACCAAATCTTATTTTTGAGATTCTATACAGTGGACGAATAATTAAGGCACCTCACTTACTCAAATGACAACACTGTCCTTGGAAAAAGAATTCCAGCCTTGAAATCAGTAGGACAATTTTTGACATATTGTGCCAAATTTTTATGGGTGCTCATCAAAGAGTGTATTTTCAACATTTATTTATTTATTTATTTTTTTAATCAGTGTGAAATCTTTTTTCTTGGAGGATGGGGGAATGGGGGACTTGAGATTTGATCCCAAATTCTTGTAGTTCTACGCACGTCCCTTGCAAGGGGATGACTCATTTGGCCACCGAGTGCGGAACGTATTTTCAACATTTATTGCTCCTTTTTTAACCCCAAAATTGTATGATAATATACTTCTATAATGTAATCACTTCCTCTCATTTTAATTGTCACACTCTTTAGAAATAGTGGTGTTAATTTAATTGTTAATTTTTATTCTAAATAAAACATTAAAAGCACCATTTTTTTTTTTAGTTTTATCTCTATTGTAACTTAAGGATAACTTTTTTTCCTTTTTGTTTGGACAGTCAAGGTGTACATGTGTTAATTTTTATACATCTTAAAACTAACATTTCTTTAAGTAATTTTAAGATCGTATCTTTCATATTAACCTTATACGTTGAATAAAATTGATTTTTTTCAATACTAATTTCAAAACTTAAATCTAGATCTAAGTTACAATACTAAACTTATTTATTAATAGATTTAACTTTTAAGATTATAATAACTTCTTTATCAAAACTTAATTACTACTTACAACTTCCTTATTAATAATTAAGTCCTACTAAAGGTATATATAGGATTTTAATCTATAATAATTATGTTTTTATAAAACTTAAAAATTTTTAAATAAATATAATGAGAAGTTATTTTACAATTTAGACCGAAACAAAACAAGAAATTTTAAATTAATATAATGGGAAGCCATTTTGCAATTTAGACCGAAACAAAACAAGAAATTCTAATCATAATGAAAACGAGTACGACAATTGAAAGGAGGGGGGACAGAGTGGTTAATTTGACGAGTAGGACAATAAAGTCTGAGTTTTTTAATGGGCAAGGTTGAAAAAAGTGGTGGAATTACCTTTTACCAGGTCTTGTGGGGACGAAACCCTAATTAATTTTGTTTATGGACCGTTATTTTGATTAGGAAATATAGAAAAACCAATCACGACGGGGAGGGAGGAAGAAGTCATCTAAATAATTAAGACGAGGTGGATTTTTTAAGCAAAATTTTAAGTTTAAATTTTAAAATTAATATTTAAAAAATTAA